AAATTAATATTATATTGATATTATAAATTAGAAACGATATAAAATATTATAAAGCTGCTAACCTTTAATATTAATAATAAATTGCGATAAAATTGACATATTAATTTGTATTTGATGCTTACTTGCGTTATAAAATCTTTAAAATTTTTCTTTTAAATTTTCCACAATTTTTTTATGCCGCTTTAGATTGCCAGCATTTCTTCAAGGATTTTTTCTCTGTGATTTGTATCACTAAATTATTCTAAACGTTTCCGATAAACAACTGCGAAATTGCGTTAATATCCGTCAATCAGCTGATCCTAGTCAATAAATATTAATGAATAATAAATATTAAAATAAATATTAATGAATAAATATTCTTGATTGAACTTTTAGCGATATGCGATTCGGCTGGCAATGGTCGCGACACATTTGACAAGAATGCTTTAAATTGTGTGCACGCGCTATTGAATGTACCGTAGACGGTTAGACTCTGTTAAGCTTCACGGTTCGCGCGTATTTTGCCAGCCACGCATGAGCGAAGATCCATTAGAGAGCGAGGGGGAAAAGGAGGATTCTCATCGTGTGTAATTTGGTCCGCGATCCTTGTTCCTCGATTCAGGCCGCCGTTGATAGTTTCCGCGATCTTAACATGGAATTCCGCGGGAGTTTCGCGCGAAATTCCTTCCATCGCGATTCCAACGCGTTCGATCATTTCGATGCCAGGATTCATCTATAATTTTTGCTTTTAATGAAGAATCCGTCCTGCACCCCGTCCGGTCAATTTCTCGTGAAATGCAAATGCCAACGATAATTCAATCGCATTCTCTTTTTGTACACACCATATGTATTTAAATGTATCGCGTCTAATCTCGAGATGAAAAGTGAAGTTTATGTGAAACTTATCTCGACGATAATTTTACATCCGCATGAAAATAGATATATTCTATTCGTAACATTCCGGAACGGCAAAAATATCTTATCAGCGCCGTAAAAATGCTTTTAACATTTTAAATTCTCAAATTACTCGTTCAACGTGGTCTATATATATTTCTAAAGTGGTCCAGATAGCATCTCGGAATATATCAGACTGCGTTTTAACTAGCGTTTTGGCTCTGCTCGAACTCCTCTTTATCGGATATTACGTCAAAGTAATTTTCGCCAAAGTTACGCTTTCTGCGAGGAGAAAAAAGCGACGGAAGTTTTCTCAGTCGTAAGATTAGCCCGGGAAGAAATTTGTCGAAAAACCGAGGGTGCGTGTGAAACGCGGGTTCGTGAAGACACTAATAATGGAGGTTGCGATGTCCCGGGATACCGCGTCATAAATATTGGAACCACGTAGAAGTATAAAAGAAACGCTTAATATATCTGCTCTCTCGCGTATCACGGTAAAATTGTATGAGATAAGGAATGATAAAAGTTTGTCTCGTCATAAATCGTACAAAGATATTTTTCTTCATTTGGAGGAAACTTTTTAAACTTAAGAATTCGTCTTAGCAGACTGCGATAATTTGTCGCGCAAGATCCTTACAACTTTAGACAATCTTTGGAAAATGGATAACTGTGCGTTAATTGTGTAATGTTTATAAAAATAATTTAAAAATTTTCCCGGCCATAGTGAAATTGATATAGAATTTCCGGTGTGAGTATTGATTGCGGACAATCACGACAAAGAGCTTCGCAAAATTCATTATTCGCGAATAGGCAAAGCCGCTTGTCAGATTTGTCCGCGCCAGGTCTCTCATTATAACTGACGTGCAATTTATCGAGTAAAAGTTCTTTTGTGTTTTCGTTCCTGTATGATTGACGGCCGCGGCTGTGGTGATTTATCGTGGCGCTCGCGCGCGATTGTAGAGCCGCGGAAGCCTGAAAAGTCCGCCTGCCTTATCGAGTCGTTGACAGGTTTTCCTGCGGCGCATGCCAGGCCCGAGACATCATGTGAATGTGAGCGTGGAAAGAAGTCAGCTCCGACCGGCAGGTGATAAATCAGTCGCCGAATCCGGCGCGTATTCGCGATAAATACGAGGAGAGCGATGCGATATCTCAACGATTACATGAAAATTTTTAAGGAGATCCTCGTTCGACGAATTATCAGAGTTTCGAGCAATATATATATAAATGTTAAAAAATTCTACAAATATAAATTACAAATTTCAAACGTTACGATATGGATTTATGCGAGCTCTATTTTTCTATTTTTCTCCCTTCTTTTATCCTCTCCCTCATTCCCCTTCTAAATCGCGGAGAATAAAATCCGAGATTCGGCCGGAGAAACTTACTGCATTTTGCTTATCCTTGTTATCGGCCTCGACCTGTATGGGCACGGTCTTATCGGATCGACGATCACCGGGGCAACAGAGCCACGACCTAGACCTGATGAGTCCCCGGGGCTCTTCCTCCTCGTCCTCGACAGCTTCCTCGTCCTCCGCGGTCGCGCAGTGAACATATACGAGGTCGCCGCGACGCAGCGGCGGCTCCAGCACGGCCTCCTTGGAGGCCAAGGCTGACACGTGGCCGGAAAACATCTGCACCGGATAGCGCGTTTGTTGATGCTGCTGATGATGCTGGAGCTGAGACTGCTGCAACTGCACGTGCTGCTGCTGCTGCTGCCGGTGCAGGTGATCCACGTAGTAGCGCGGCTCCGCCGAGCCATTGTTTACGGCTACCGCGAAGCCCGCCACGTTGAATTCCGAGAGCTGCGAGCTGCTGGCGGCGACCCGACACCTTAGGAAGGCGGCATCCTCCGCCGTTCCGCGCGATGTAATCTCGATCGATCGCGATCGGGACCGTCACGGACCGCCGATCGCGCGCACGATCGATGAGGAGTCGCCGCCAATTTCTTCTTCTTCTTCTTCTTCTCCTCGTCGAGATTTTCGTTTAATTTATTTTCGATCGATTTATTCCTTTCCGCTTATAGCACGCCCATCTGAGACCGCGCGGCGGATGTTGCGGTAATCCTGGCGCGCGAGAGCGGCTTCCCGAACTCGCTCGATCAAGTTTTATAGCGGGATTCACCGGCCGGCTGGCTGGCTGGCTGGCTGCCTGGATACCCGAGGAGGAAATGATGTTGATGAATGTTTAACGAACGCTTTGTTTATCCGAGGATGGTGCCGACGACGACGAGGTCGACGAGTATAACGGAGGTACGCGCTGCTGGATGCGCACC